GATTCCTTTCCCGGGGGAAAACGCCGAAGAAGGGTCTGGGAGAGACCTGCGGCTGGAACTCACTGTCCTCTCTTAGGAATCCTCTCCTTAACCACTGACGAACTTCTCCCGCAAATCCTGACTCCAGACCGAATTACCTTTGTACTCGCCGTCTGAGTGAATCTGCTTCTCGGATTCCAAAATCCAAACGCCGGCCCCCAAGACCCGCCCCCGTGGCTCCTGAAACGTTCCCGCCCTCTTTCCGTTTGTGATGGGCTGAGAATTGGAGTTTCTATTGGCCAGTGGGTGAGGAGGGGGCGGGGCGTCTGAGTGTCAAACCGGAAGGGGCGGGAGAAAATCGGAAGCCGCCCGGGCTTTAGGGAGCTGGAGTTTCACTTGACCCGGAACTGAAAGAGCCTTGCGAAGGAATGCGTCCGCTTCAAGATCCGTACCCGCTGGAAGTTGGGGGATTTGCATAACGGCAGTGCCTTCCCAACTCTAAACATCATCTCTAGCCTTAAGCAAAAGGTAAAATAATGGCATGTGACCTGAAATTGCACTTTTACGGCCAGTATTTATTTATTTTGGAGACAGGGTCTCACTGTGTAGTCGAGACTGACCTTGTAAGACCTAAAGTCTTACTTCCACTCCACGGAGCGTGAACAGCCGAAAGGCCTCCACGATGCTGGGCCCTAACACCCAGCGAGGCTCCGCGAACACGACAGAGAAACGAGAAACCCAGGAAGGAACACACCAGGCTAGGTGGTAAAAGACCTTTATTAGTCTGGCCAGACGGCACTCCCGGAACCAGGTGGCTCAGAGAGGCAACTGCTCAGGGGCTGAGGTACTTTTTATAAGGTTTTTCTAAACAAAGAGTCAGGGAATTCACAGAACAAGACTGCAAACACATTGTTTATCTTATGCAGGAAATGATCTAGGGTCACCTTTTGTCAAACCATTTGCCCCTGGGCATGCTGTTAACCAAGGTAGTAATTAGCATATGAAGAAGCACAGTCTGGCCTATTAGCATGGAGTCACTTTAGCCTATTCAAGTCTTACAACCTGGAACTCACTATGTAGCCCAGGCTGGTCTCGAACTCACAGCGATCCTCCTGCCTCAGTCTCCCGAGTGCTGGGATTACAGGCGTGCGCCACCACACCAGGCTCAGCCAGTATTTATTTAAATATGAGCTGGCCACCCAGGGTTAGCAGAAAGAAATGCTAGCCTGCTGTTTTAATTTTAGGAGACAGGGTCTCACTATGTAGTCCAGGATGGCCTCGAACTCATGGTGATCCTCCTGCCTCAGCCTCCCCTGATTGCTGGGATTACAAGCATATGCTACCACAGCTGCCCACTAACCTGTTTCAAAGAGAAGTTGCTGCTGTTGTCGCAAATGTCAGTGTAGGCTGCACGGAGTCCTTCCCATGGGAAGAGCTCAGTCGACAGTCTGCTGTTAGAAACAGGGCTGGGGTCTACAGTCTTTCACTCTCTGCCCCTGGTTCTTCATCTCAGTGAGCAGGGCAGGTATGCACCACCATGACCGGCTCCCCACCCTTTTTATTGTCTTTCTTTGTTTTGTTTTGTTTTAAACCAGATCTCACTAGCTGTCACTCAGGCTGACAAAGCACTTCCTTGGGTAGCATGAATTTATTCCATCCATCTGCACCATAGACAGACTGAATTATTCTCAATTCTAAATAAGCACATGGGGCCAGGGATTTAGCTCAGTGGCACCGCGCCAACATTGCAAGCACAAGATCAGGAGTTTGATCCCTCTACCAGAAAAATTAAAAAATAATAAAAAACTAAACAAGCACATGGCAGCTCAGAGAGATTAAGTGACTTTCCCAAGGTCATTCAGTGAGTCACTGTCACCACTAGGGCTGCTGACCTCAAATTCCCACTTTTCAGAATTGTCTCATAGGAATAAAGAAGCCCAGTTGGGGCTGGATGTAGTGGCACATACTTGTAATCCCAGAAATCAGGAGGCTGAGGCAGGAGGATTGCCAGGAGTTCAAGGTCAACTTGGGCTACATAGAGAGACCCTATCTCAAAGAAACAAACAAAAATCCTACTCAGGGAAGTAGAATCCTTCCACCCTTGATGTCTGGTCATCCTTGATATCCCATCAAGTTCTCCTCTCCCGGCCTGGATTTCCCAGTCCTTGCTTGGCCTGCTGTTGGCAAGAATCCCTGCACCCCAGGGGCCTCCTTTGAGTAATGTCTGCTGACCACGCCCTCTGTTGACCACGCCCCTCGTTCTGCACCGCTCTTTGCTGTACTCTGAACTGAAACGCCCTCGTCCTACTGCAAGAGCACAACCTGCCTTTAACTAGGATCTGGCCCGTTTCTCTTGAATAGCAGGTCCTGGCTACAGCAGCCTGGCACTAGGATGGCCCATGGCAGGATCCCTGAGCATGCCCCCACTCAGATGTCCCCAAGACCTTCACCGGCTTGGATGCCTCCTTACCCAGCTTGGGCTCCCTAGGATGGAGCTGTCCTTGGAGCCCCCGGTGCAGTCCCGGGGCCATCACTGAGCAGCATCCAGGTGACAAGTGGCTGCTGGGCCACTCAGACACTCGACTCTCTAGAGCCCTGTTCCCCGCTCCACCCCCACGGGCAGCCAGCCCAGGACCGAGGCACAGGAACACTCAGAGCCAGGCAGGATGACAAAACCCATTTGTTCTAAATCGAACCAAGACACCCAGCCGTTCATTTGTGGGTAGAAGGGGTACAGGGGGTGCTGGCTAAGTCTAGGCTGGCTTGGGATGCTGGCTCTCACACAGCAGCGGTGTGATGTACTGCAGCGTGGGGCTCTCAGGAGTTGGGGAGACCCTGGCCCTGCTGCTCTGTAGGCCCTGTCAGCCCTTTTTTTGTTCTGTTTGTTTTTGTGGTACTGGGGATCAAACTTGTGTTTGCAAGGCAGGCGCGGGGCCACTGAGCTAAATCCCCGGCTCTTGTTTCTTGTTTTTTTTTAGACAGGGTCTTGCTATCTAGTTAGGCTGTCCTTGAACTCACTGTGGAGCCCAGCCTGCCTTTGAAATCATGGTGATCCTCCCGCCTCAGTCCTGAGTGCTGGGATACAAGTGTGTGTCACCACACAGGTCCGGCAAGGCCCTCCTTTCAAAGATGTCTGGAGACAGCAGGAGCGGTGCTTTCACAGAGGAGACAGGGGACACCATAACGCCACAGCTTGGGCAGGGCACCGAGCCTGAGCAGGAACTCCCAGGCGGAGTCCACAGCGCCCCATTTTAGTGGAGGGACAGAGGTCCAGGGGTTCGCATGTGGGTCCACCTGAAGCACCGAGCCAGCGAAGGGGGCCAGGAGCAGCGCCACACCCCGCCAGGAGAGGCCGCGCTGCTGCCAGCAGGATGAGGACGTCGCTCGTGCTGCTCCTCCAGCTCCTGCTCCTGCTCCTGCCTCTTCCCACACCAGCCTTGGGCCTGCAGCCACTGTTCCTGCCCTTTGGCCCTGTTTCTCCTTGGCCCCTGGCTGCTCGTGCCTCCTGCTGGCCCCCAACTGTGTTCAGGCCTCTGGCCCCAAACCTCAGGTCCTTACTAATGGTCCCCACCCAGATGACTTCGTTCTCAGCCACTCCCCGAACAGGTGAGGTCTGGGGTGGGCTTGCTCAGCAGTTGGGGACTGGGGTGCAGGGCGATCATAGGACTGGTCGTCCCCTCACCACAGTGCCCCGCACGCCCTTGGGCCAGGCGACCACTCCCAGGTAGCGCTGGCCCCCACGCGCCCAGTGCTCCTCCTCTTCCCTCCATGCGGCCCCTGCCCGGGGCACAGCGGGCAGTGACGGCGCTGTCCTCCCGTCCTGCCCCGAGCCCCGTCTGACTCTAGAGATACTGGAAGGTGGGCGGAGAGAGAGGCGGGTGCAGCACAGTCCTCCAGGGTGGTTGGGAACTGTGGCACCCAGGAGCAGGCCTGAAACCGGGGAAGCTTCTGGAAGGCTGCTCTGCCTTGCGGGCGTGCCAACAAGGGGGTCACCTCCCTCCCTTCCTGCGGGTGTGGTGGTGCACGCCTGAAATTCCATCCGTTATCTGCAATGCTTTTATTTATTATTCACTTACTTTGGTTTTTTGAGACAGGGTCTCACTCTGTGACCCAGGCTGGCCTAGAACTTCCCGCCTCACTCTCCCAAGTGCTGGGTCACAGGGTGCACCACCATGCCTGGTGCTTTCTTTCCTTTTAAACTGGGAATTGGACCTAGGGCCTTACCACCAAGCTACATCCCAAACACTCCACTGTTTTGTTGTTTGGTTTGGTTTCGGCTTTTTGGTACCGGGGATGGAACTCAGGACCTTGTGCCTGTGAGGCAGTGCAGCACTACTGAGCTAAATCTCCAGACACCCCATTTTAAGAGACAGGGTGGGCTCAAACTTGGGACCCTCCTGACTCAGCCTCCCTGAGTGCTGGGATCACAGGCATGCACCACCACACCCTTCCGAGCATTATTCTCCCTGTTACAGACAAGGACATGGGGCCTCTGGGAGGCAAAGTGACTTTGTCAAGGTCACGCAGGCGGTGAGTGGCAGAGCAGGGCTTTGTGCCTGAGGCTGACTGAAGCTGTGCTGTGGCCTGGGGAGAAGAGGTCAGAATGCAGAACGACAGCCCTGCCAGGCCCTGGTCTGCGCCAGCGCATTAATATTCAGTTTCTGGAAAACCCTGTACTATTGTCTTCGGCATCTTAGCTGGCCTGCGTGCAGAACACTCTCTGCTCACAAGACAAATCCTTCACAGGCCGCTGCACCGTGCTCGGCCTTCACGAGCTCCCACGCCGGGCAGGACACTTGGCCTTCAGCGTGTTGCCAGCTGCCTCCATCTCCAGGTCACCGGGACGTGCAGGGTCCTGGCCAGGCAGCGAGGCCCCCGGGGTCCATGCAGGGAGGCTGTGGCTAGGGAGGCCGTGTGGGAGCCCCATCCACAGGGCAGGGAGGGCGAGGATGAGGGCCGGGTACAAACGGTTTATTTTTCTATAAAGAGCAAAGTACAAAGAGGCAGGGGAGGTCCGTGGGTCAGCAGAGGCGGCCCAGGCCCCTTGTGGCCCTGGAGACCATGCGGCTGCCCACGGCAAACTGAGGCTCCGGTCTGGCTGCAGGTGGAGGGGCTCGTAGGCAGCCCCGGGCCGCGCTCCTCTGCAGGCACCTGCGGGGAGAGGGCCCTGAGCTCTGAGGCAGAGCACAGCGGGCACAGTGGAGCCGGGCAGGCTGGCACCACCCCCACCTCCGCTGATGCCCTCCGCAATCCACGGGGAAATGACACAGAATGGCCACTGGAGGAGGGCGGCGGGGCTCGGCTTAGAACACGGCTGGACCTGGGCACGCAGGCGCAGCCTGGAACCCCAGCACTCGGGAGGCTGAGGCAGGAGGATCATGTGTTTGAGCCCAGCCTGGGCTACACAGTGACTTAGGGAGAACTTGTCTCAAAGTGAGTCATTTTTTAAAAGGGGCTGTAGCTCAGTGTGAAGGCCCTGGGCTCGATCCCCCACCTGATATCAACAAAGCCTCTGGACTCCTCTGGTAACGACAGGAAAGACATCACCCACAGGGGTGGGAGGTCTCTGCGCGAGCAGCCTGGGCCGGGGCAGCTCCAGGCCTGTCAGTGGCGAGCTGCGCACGTGTCCCTCACCTGAGGTGGAAGAGGTGCGCGCAGGGCAGCGCCTGCAGCCGGCTGTTGTGCTCACCAACGGCCTCGCCGCACAGCCCGCAGTACAGCGCGGTCTCCTCCACGCACGCGTGGAAGCGCACAACGTGGGCGCGCACCTCCCGCTGCAGCCCCTTGCTGCGGCAAATGTCCTCTGCAAGCCGGTGCAGCCGCAGCTGGCTCAGCTGGTGGGACAGGGCCCAGGGAAGGCGACCGGGTCGGTCCTGTGCCCAGCCCTGCCCTGCCCGCCTGACAGAGGGCCATGCGCAGCCCCTCTGGGCCTGGGTCCCGTCCAGCAGAATGGGGTGGGACAGCAGAGGTCGCTGCTCGCCCGCTCGCTCTCTGCAGGATTTCAGGGCCTCCATCTGTGGCCTGGCCTCACCCACAGCCCCTTTTTCCTGTCCTCACCCACATCTCTAGCAGGTGGACCCCGGGAACCAAAGGCGAGTGCCGCGGGCCCAGAAGCCGGCCATGCCCTGCCTCAGCGGCTGCAGGTTTCTGAAGCCACAGACCGCTGAGCCTGCATCTTCAGGGCTGCACTGAATGTGGAGACGCCACATGTGCTGACACAAGGCAGGGAGCGGGAGAGGGACCCCGTGACGCTGGCCACAGGGCCGCCTCAGAGAGACAGGACAGGAAGTGACCCCTACTGAGGCTGTGCTTACGCTCTCGGGACTGGGAGCCCCCGCCGGAAGTGCAGTGATGCTCAAAGGCCTGGGGAATCCCCTCCGAGCTGTGACGTTCCCACCCCGCCCCAGGGCCAGGGGCTGGGGGTCAGGAAGGGCTCAGGGTTGCCCAGGTCTGGGGGCTTCTCCCAGGAACCCCCGATCCAGGAGACAGAATCAGGTCTGACCTTGTTCCCCACCTCCTCAGCCAGGTCCTGGGCTCTCTCGATGGCATCTAGAGCCTGCAAGGTGAGCAGAGGGCAGGGCTCCATGCGGGGTCCAACAGAGGCTGAGGGCAGACAGAGTGGGGACAGGGCAGGGCCACCACCCTGTGACGGTAGCAGGGACAGAAGGGTAGAGCTGGGGGAGCCTCAGTCTGTGCACGTTCAGAATGGACAGGATGTGCCTGTCTCACACGCTGCTGGGGGACCATGCCAGTCATGTCCCAAGTTCGAGTCCCAGAGCAGGCCCTTCATGAGCCATGGGTCTCTGAGCCGGGGCGGGCCTGCTCTGAGGTGGGAAGCTAAGCTGGACTTTCCTGGCCGCAGACGATCAGGTGAGGCCACCTTTAGAGAAGGGGTCCAAGGGAGCTGGCCTGGCCTGGAGCAGGCGTGGAGAGCAGAGCCAGGGCACGGAACTGGGCTGCCCTCACCTTGTCCAGAGCCTTCCGGGCGACCCAGCACTTGGTCACACCCAGCAGCACCTGCACCTGCCCCAGGCGGTTTCCAATCTCGGTCATGATGCTCATGGCGGAGTCGTACCTGGGGAAGGCGGTCTGTGCAGCAGAGGGAGGTGGTATCAGGCCGAGCCAGGCCGGAGCCCCACCCGACCCGGTGCCCTCACCTCCAGATCCCCGCGGCTGCGGTGGATGTCAGCAAAGCAGAGCAGGCAGAGCGCCTGCAGAGGCCGGTCCCCGTGCTGCAGTGCGATCTTCATGGACTCCTGGGGGGACAGCCCTGGGTCACAGCGCCCTCAGAGCCGCCTGCACCTGCTCTGTGCCGAGGCTTCATGTACCTGAGCCCTGTGGCCCTGGTACTGGCAGGGCGGCTCCATCACTGAGAGCAGGAAGCCAAGGCTGGGGAGAAGCACTCTGATCAAGGTCCCAGGGAGCACGCAGCAAACAGTGTGGCTGGGATTTGAAGGCTCGCCGTGGCACCCCTGAGACTGGCTCCCTTCCTGCCTGACAATTCTGGGTGTCCCTAGAGGGCTCCAGGCCAGTGGAATCCCCTCCCCTGAGGATGGGCTGGAAGGGGTGGAGTTGGGCCCACACTTCCATCAGGGTTCAGTATGCCAGCCCCGAGGTGGCAGCTTGGGGTCCTCCCTGCTCCCCGCCCACTGCGTCCCTGCGGCCCCACCTCACAACACTCCATGGCACTGCCCAGGTGGCCCAGCAGGCGGTAGGCCACAGCCATGTGGTACTGGCTCATGGCCCGGTACTTGAGGCTCCAGCCTTTGCCGTAGTCGTTGACGAGCTCCGCCGCCTTGCAAGGAAAGAACAGGGCTTTCTCGTAGTCCTGTGGGGACATGGGTGGAGGGTGCACTGAGTTTGGGAGCTGACCATGGAGGGCTTCGGGTGCCACTGGGCACTGCCCTTCTCGCCTCAGGCCAGGGAGCCTGGCAGAAGAGCGGCCTCCATCAGCCTCGACGCCAGATCCCAAGAGCCGCGCCCAGTGCTTGGGCCTAGTACGGGCACAAAAGATTTCTGCAAAGAATGAGTGAAGAGACGGCAGCGGGTCGGATGGTGCACGCCTGTAGCCCCACCACCGGGAGGCTGAGGCAGGAGGATCGGATCGTGACTTCAAGCTGGCCTGGGGAACAGAGTGGGTGTAAGGAGGCCAGGCTGGACTACATAGTGAGACCCTGTCTCCGAGGGAAAACTAGAGGAAATGAAAGGGAAAGGGGAAAGGGAAGGCAGGGTCGGGGCCAGCGGCTGGCTCTGGTCCCACAGACTCCTCTACTTCAGGGCAGTGTGCAGAGTTCCAGGGCCCCCGCGAGCACCTGTGTTCCCCCAGGGCCCAGGGACAGGCGGTCGGCGCCATCAGCTCAAGAGACATCGGAATAGACTTTCCCATGTGCTCTCCTGGTCTCCTCCAGACCCCAAAGTGTTTTTTCCCTGCCCTCAGCTCCCACCGTCGCCTCCTGTCCATCAGGAAAAAGGAAGACCAGAGGCGACCGTACCCCCACACCCCCACCTTCCCGACCTGCTCCCACCTTCCCATCCTGTCCCTGCCCCGGTCACATGCCAGCCACCCCCAAGCTCTGTGTCACTGTGTTCCTTTTCTCCTGAATCCTCCCCAACAGTGTACAGACATGCTGTGGTATTTCTCATCTTATTTAAAAATAAAACTCAGCTGGGTATGGTGGTGCACACCTGTGATCCCAACACTTCAGGAGGCAAAGGCTGGAGGATTGCAAGTTTGAGTCCTACCTTGGCAACTTAACAAGGGCTAGTAGTGCCCTTGCCTAGCATGCAGG